GCATTCCTGGGTGATTCTGCTCTCTGGCAAAGGATTGCTTCTTATCAAGTTCTCTGATGTACAAGTGCCTGAGGGCTTGTTCACATGGGAAAATTCAGTGGCATTATTTATACCTCTCCACTGCAGAATATGAGTACCCACATGGAAACTCAACAAGGGTATAATAATTTTGCTGTAGGAAAGTCGTAAGTACCTTCATATAATTTCTCCCCAGAAAGTTAGCTATGGCACAGGTAATGCAACACACCAGAGAAAATGCATTTGGGGACACCAGAAAGGACTGCTTTGTACAAAAGCAACTCTTCACTCCTGTGACAATACAGTTCCCTATTTGAGATTGTTTTTCCACACAGAGCACTCTGTCCCTAATTAAAAAAAAACAAACCTCATTCTACAGAGAAATTAAAACAAACACCATACACATACTTATCCACACCCACCTACCCACTATTTTAATTATTGATATTAGCTTTGCTGCACTTACACTTTTCTTCTGTAAATGCATCCTCACTCTGAGCACCGCACTCAGACAGATGCTATCTGAGCAGTGACTCTTGGTAAGCAAACGATGCGCTGAATGCTGATGGAGAGGGCTAGAGCTAGCTCAGGAAAATAAGCAAGAACAGAATCCAGGTAACGTAAAACAATTTCATGCTTGAAAGGATATTAACAGGACGTGCTGCACCTGCAGCCATGAATTTCATTTGCATTGGAGAAAAACAATCTCTGTGCTGTACATGTAGTACAATGGGTAGGAGGGATGGAAGAGAGAGAAAGAAAACACAGACTGCCTCATATACAGCGTCCCTTAGCAGTGGCTGGGATGTGGCCTTTGCCGTTCTGCCTTTTGTGTCTACTACACCCTTTGCAGTTCTCGCTGAGTGACCCGAAGGAGGTGGTATAACTCGGAGAGAGATTTCAGAGTCCTCTGGTGCCCGGCAGCATCCACGCGCCCCGGCTCGGCACACTCCTGCACAGCCTTCTGCAGCTGCAGCTGCAGGGGGAGGGAAACCAACGGTCCTCTGAGATTTGGAGAAAACCAGCGACGGAATATTTTGTCACAAATTACCTGAGGAAAGGGAAAAGAGCAGATTGTTGTCTTTCAGGAGCTACAACTAATGTCCTGCTGCTTCTCTAGGACTGTAGCAAAATGTCATCTGAACCCAAAATGCCTCCAGACATTCAAAAAGGAAGGTATAGAAAAGGAGCATCCACAAGGGCTACGCTCCAGCTGAGGAATCCCCCTTCTTCTCAGACTGCTCTTGCACTTCCACGTAACAAGTGGTGAGGGTGAGGTGTTGCGAGAAGCAGGCAAAAGGCCGCCAAGCCACACTCCCCCAGCCTCTCTGCTGCACTAGTGCCTCCCGCCAGCACAAGCTGGGTGAGCTGTAAGACACCTCATCCCAGGGCCAAGAACCCCATCGACTCCCCTTTCCACTACATCCACGTACTAGCTCTGCAGAGCGGAGAATCGCAGCCATAGCCCCCCCGCTGCTTACACGTGGACAGCCCCGACTTCACCATTAGTGGAGACAGTAATGCCCCTGCCCCTACTTCCTTCACTCTCCTATCTGAGGCATTGGGCTAACAGCTACACAAAAGCACGGCAAATAAACACTAGTGAATATAAAGATCTGTTTGTGTGCCCCAAGATGGGATTTCCAAACAGGACTGGCACTTATGTTTAAAAACCTGACTGTCTTCATCTCACAGTCTCCTAGTACATACCATGCATTTTATAGTCAATGTGATTTTAAAAGAGATGGATGCATAAAGCAGCTGTGTCTACTCACTTGCAAGTTGTTATTGGCTCTCTGTGCTCCACATTTTCTGATTTTCAGATTGCATTTTGAAAAGCAATCAAAAAAATTACAGTCTTCATCTCCTGTGCAGTTCTGTTCAAGGATGTCCCTCATTTTGGGTTCAAAAAAGGCCATATCCACATCAATGGCCACCACCTGTGGATCAAAACAAGCCATCAGATCTGGCACGGCACAGCCTGTGGGACAGGGCTGAGCAAGCATTCTTTGCTCCTTGCTTTTGGAAATGCTGTGCTGAGAGCATCTGCCAGTGGAGAACTGGGATCACAATGAAAGGGCTTTATTTCACTTAACTGAGCTGCACTAGTCTTATAAATACCACTTTTTAAACAAAAACAGCCAATGCTTGCGACACCAGGAAAGGGAAAATTATTTGTGGACAATATGCGTCCCTGGGGTCGACTGGATGGATTTGCCTTAAACCGGGACTGTCCAACTTGGAGATTGATTTACTTGTTGTTGCACCTTATGCAGATGACAACTCAACCTTTTAATTATACGGCGCAAAATTACCCACAGGCCAGATGGTATCATTTCACAGTTCACCATTCAGACTAAACACCTGACTTCATCATTGTGGAGAGGAGCAGGGGGATGTGCAGAAGTACCCGCATCTGGTACAGCTCCTCCAAACCTGCCATTGCATTCAGTGGGTTTGAGTCTGCTCAGCTGCAGAGAGATCCCTGAGGCTGTGGAAAGTCGAGACTGGCTTTGCCCATTCCTGTCTGCTATGGTTTGACTCACTTATTGTGCGTGGTTCTTGTTCTGCTTGTCCAGAAATATGGTACGTAACAGAGTCTAGCCAGCAGTTGGTCTCAGCAGAAAAAGCAAGGACTGGAGGGATCAATCAGTTTTCTTGCCCTGACACAAGGCTTGCAAAATAGTGAATACGCAGCACAAAGAGGTCTGCAGAGCTGCTGCCTGTGCTAGGTTTGAAACCATTCTGGGAGTGAAGGGCTGTAGTCTCAGTTTCTGCCAGTGTCACTCCACCCATGAATATTTCACTTAAAAAAATTACAGAAATAAACAGGGAAAGAAAGGAAGCCAGTAATGGGATGGCAGCTGCTTGACATGAGACAAACTGTGGGTGACCACAGTGCACGCAGCCCGCCTTCAGTGCCATGGATGCAGCAACCAGCCTGCGTACAGAGCTGCGCTTAACACTTGCCAGTCAGGGTCAGAGACTCTCCCTTGCAGCAGCTGACACACATATTCATGGAGGGAAATGTCTGGGACCTGGGCAATGCAGAGTTACTTTGGGTCAAATGATAGTCTCATGTTTAAGATTCAACCTCCCACATAACAGGGGAAGCTGAACTGCGTGGCTGGAGCAGCAGCTGGATCAACCCCAGGAACTAAAGATGTCTGGTCTGGTAGAAGCCAAATAAACCTTCCACAGGCAAAAGAAAGAACAAGGTCTAATCCTCATTTTATTCTACTTCTTTTTCCCCAGGGAAAATCTTAAAGAGATGAGGCATAGCTTAAAAAATCGAGTATTTTTAACCTTCGTGGAGAGCTTGATCATGATGACGTAGCCTAAGGAATTTCACACGTTTGGACAGGCAAATTTTTTTTTCTTTTCTTCTTTACTTCCTTAAGCGTTCTGCAGTTTTGCAGTTTACATCTTCACAGAAGAGACAGCAAAAGCAGTGCAGGGTTTCCCCAGTCCTAGGGTCGCTGCATCAGCACCCTGGTGGGGTCTCTGCCAGCACTGAGCACCTTTGACAATCCGATCAATTGCTCCACAAGGGAAAAAAAAAGCCCTGGTTCCCAAACATGTGGCATGGGTTCAGTGGTTTCACTGAAGTTCATCTGTTACAAAAATGTGTGGGCATCCAGCCAGACCCTGTGAAGACAGATCTGGGTGACACTCTAGCTATAAACAGCTACATTTTGGTGGGGTTTCTTATGATTGCAGTTGATGATGAAGGTATCTAAGGAAACGCAGCAAGGACCCAGCTTGGCTCCTGACCTGATTTAAAGTCATGCTTAAGGTGCTGTAATCTTTCGAGTTCTCTCTGAGGTGCTGGTAAAATAGGTGCGGCACTGTACATTCACCCAGACCTCCTTCCAACTCTGCCCCTTATGTAGCTCCATGGCAGCTTAAAATTCCCCTGGATGATCTACCAGGCAGTGATCTCTCCTCTCCATGCTGCAGGAACAGCACGTGAAGGCTGGAGGGAGGGCCAGAGGCTTATCCTCACCATTTGAAAATAATCCTCGAAGTAAAACTATTGCACTCCAGGCACATTTCTTTAGGCTTTAGCAGTCTTGTTGCTGGGATGAGGAGTAGTGGTGCCATTATGGATGTTTATTATTGTCCTATACAGAGCACAAGAAACAAGCAAGTGAAAAAATTGCTTAAAACAAACATGAGGGACAAAAAAAGAGGCTGCCTTGCTGCGTCCCTGTTCTGGAACTGGTTGATAAAACCACCTAGAGTCTCTGCTTCTCACTCTCCTTCCTTCTTCACCGATCAGAAGCTCTCTCTTCCCCTCCCCCCCCCCCCCCCCCGGGTTTCTCTGGGGCGCCCCTCTTGCCTCGCCGATCGGCAGCGAGCCACGGAGGGAGAGCCGGCGAGAGCGGCTCGGCAGAGGGAAGGTGCCTCGGCCCGGCTCCCCGGCAGCGTTCCGGAGGCTGGGGGGGGTCCCCACCTCCGCCCCTGCCCGCACGGCGTGGGGCCAGCTTCTCCGCTCCCCCAGCCCGCGGTGCAGGGTGGTTTCTGTCTGTGCGCATCTCCTGTCTCCCAGCCCAGGGGGGTGAAAACAGGGGATACCAACAGGCTGTACGTAGCGTACAACTGCGAGAGCCATGAGTGAGCAGCAGCTCACTTTTTGTTTTTTGATTAATTCTCCTAGAAAATATTACATTAGTGTACTTTCCTATACCAGAAGGTGGCTGTTGTCTCTTTGGACACCAGAAGTCACGGGAGGATCCTGGAGAAGCAAGCCTCACTCAAAGGACTCGTAAGGGAAGACACATCCAATATTCTTTCTCTTTTCCTAAATGAAATCTATTTTCCTCTAAGCAGGTGGTAAAACAGATGCTCTGGTGCGTGCTCAGTCACAGGCAGTCACAGCCCTGTGTAACCAAAAAAGATGGGCAAAGCCTGCCTTGAGGAGTCCTTGCCGTACCTCACTTTGCCTGAACACTGGTACGCTTTTTTAGTGTCTTGCTGTAGCTCCTCACCCATTCCCCGTTCAGCTGCTGTACTGCACCTGAATAAACAATGGGAGGGAAGGGAAGGGTAAAGGGGAAGCACTCTAATTGCTCTTAATGGCTATATGTTTAGGCAATGTTTATCTAGTACTCTGAAGATGTGAGTGTTATATTAACACTCAGTGAGTACTGAAAATAGCATTCAAGTCCCTGAAAATGCTTTATGTTCACTCAGAGTGCAGTGCCTCCAACTGATGTCACTGCAAGTTGTGAGTCTGCTTCAGACACTTACTTATTGCAGTGCCTCCAGTCCGTACGCACAACTCCCACCGAAACCAGTGGAATTTCTGTCTGCAGAATGAATGCAAGATGCATTCGGCAATGTGGTGCTGAGCTACATCGCTACTTAGAAAACATGCATAGCTATTCAGGTCTGAGTTAGAGCTGTACAATGAAAAGTTAAAGAGTAACAGTGCCAAGGAGTTTTATGTCACTGTCATTGGATCATTTCCAGAGCAGATAACCTGAACACTAAAGCACAAAGATGTGTGTGTTTGTATGTGGGGAGTTCCCTTTGTGCCAGGTCAGAGAATTCAGCCTTAGCTTTCGAATTGAAACAGTTTTTCCTTTCAGCATCACTACCAGAAATAGCTGCCATGACTCAAATTACAGGTTCGTTTGCAGCTTTTGAGATCTCCTTGCCTTCAGGAGGTATCCCTCACCACATCCAAGGGACCCTGTCAGTGCCAGTGCCTTTAAGGAGGTGAAACAAATCATAACTGAGCAAACAGTTCTTGAAACAAGCAGCAGGATCTAGCGCCCTGAAACATGGCTGCACATACCACAAAGAGGAAAAGCAGTAGAGAAGCTCCCCTGTCACTTGTAAATGCATTGATTTTGCAAAAACTTGGCCAAAAGCTGTACGAGGAGGGAAGTGCAATTTTTACACAGCCACTTTCAGACTAGAATTTGACCTCAAATTGCTGCAACACAACCCCAAAGACTCAACTTACCGTGAGATCGTGCCTGATAGCGAAGTTTTCTGGTTTGATGTCACACAGGTGAAGTCGGTGAGAGAAATCATTATCAAAATGCTGCACCATGTCCAGAAAGCTGAGTGCAATGTCAATGATGGCTCTCACCCTGGTTCTGTGGCCAGCAAGGGAAGGACCGACCACATTTTCCAAGGGAAAAAGAGTTTTGTGCCAGGCATGTCCAGCTGTGAGATACTCCACAGCATAAAAGTGTCCACAAGAGCCAATAATTCGTAGCACGTGTTTGCTGAAGTCCTGCAGCAAACTGAAGTAGATATATTCTTCCTGCTGGAGCAAGGACCACATGCTGGCCACCTGTGCTTTCCAACGTGGTCCCTTCTTCCTTGTCCACAGAGGCCCCATGGTATTGTTAGACAGTTCTAGCCCCAGGACATTTTTGACCTCCAAGGCTACCATCAGCAGAAGCTCCGTTTCAGGGATATCCTGTGTTTCCACCTCTTCTAGCATACTGAGATGCTGGTAGCTGGAGAAGATTTCCTTTTTGGATTTCAGGATGATCGGCTGGCCTCTCCAGTCAGCCTGAATGACCTTCTTACCTCTGTCATAGTAAAGGCAGTGTTTGTACACCAGCTTCTGTGCCACACACAGGTCTTCACAGAGGTCACCAGTCAGGGCTCCGTTGCTGTAGTCAAGACACTGGAGTGAAAGAGCAGGATAGTCATAGCAGGACCATACACTCGTGGACCACTTAGAAGAAAGGCAAAAAATCAGCAATAGTCCTAAGCTCAAGAGTCTTGCAGCAGTCATGGTACTGCAAGCACACACCTTCTACAACCGTTGGGTTATTCAACGTTTTTTCAGAAGTCTCTACAGACCTTGTACTAGGGGGAATCTTGCTTCAAAACAGGGATTCTTGGGATGGTAAAGGATGGGCTTTTTGGGGGCAAGGAAATGGACCAGATGACCCGTAACTCTTAAGTTCTTGCCACATATGAATTCAGTGAGACAAGCTTTGAACACCCTTGGCTGTGCTATGTGGTTCTGGACTGTAGCACTTTAAGGCACAGGAGATAACTTCCAGTGTAATTCAGGACTTCTCTGGAAGGTTCAGGGCAGCATAACTTAGACACCCCACTTAAATCCATGGGTAGCTGGATTGCTGGGACCTTCCGCAGCCCTGTGTCTTTCGACCTTGCACTCAACATGCCCTGACTGAAGCTGTAAGAACCTCCTGCACTACCAGGGAACAGAGGAGTTGTGCTCAATGCCTCTTGGACCAAGAACTCTCAGAATTTTTAAATATGTAAATGCTGTAGGACAAAATGACTTTTCCAGTTTGTATATGTACTTGCCAGAAGTGGCATTCTAATATGAATGAAATACTTATTTTTTTTTAAATAGGAAAAAATCAGCCCATGGAAACATGCAACCTGCTGCTTGATAGTTAAGTGGTCACTGCAAATTTGTACAAAAACTGCAAGGATTCCCTCACCAGTCCTTCCTTCAACCCATAATTGTTTCCATACCATCATTTCCAAAAGTGTAGGCAGTCGATATATTCCTATGGGCATTCAGAAGTGCAGCTGCAGGGACTGGTTTGGGCGAATCAGTAGAGGGGATGATCAGAGGTCTCTGGTGAAAGGGGAATAGACTGTGGTGGTGTAGGAAGCCAAACATCTGGGAGGTGGCTTGACAGTGTCAGCCTTCTTCATTGCTTTCTGGCATTTGAACCTTCATTTAAACAAGTTGGCAGCTCCCACTGCATGTGGAGTACTTGCAATGGCTGCCTGACCCCCACCTCATTTGCTGTTACATACACAAGAAACACGATCGTAAAATTCAAGTGATGTATTTTCTTAGGACAGTCTCTGAGGTGTGCACCAGAAGAATACATTCTGATGGCAGGCAACATTCAGAGTCCAACCTTAAACAACACACTGGGGAATGGGTGGAGGATTAAGTCCAAAATCCAGGAATGGTGATAAATTGACTAAAACAGCTCACTGAGGGCAGTTCAGACAGGCATACAATTTATTTATACTCTGATGTTCTTACAGCCCAAATGAGAACATTCAATGCCAGCAAGGAGAGCCAGGTAGGCAAACTCTAACATCAATGTCCTGACCCTTAGTCCAGAGTGATGTACACGTGTGAAACACACACATCTGCATCCACATCCACATCAGGATGGTCAAGCAGACTCACGGGGCTATCCGCAGACTTCAGAGCATGCAGACCAATGTTCTTGCTTTTGAAAATCCACTCCTATGAATGTAATACAAATCTGATTCCCCTTTTTAAGTAGAAATGTAATTTTCTCAACAGAAGTAGTTTAGCAGTTCTTAGCATCTGGAACTCTAAACAATTTTAGAAAGAAGATTGCAAACAGAAGGAATTTTGGGGGTTTTCTTTGGAGCATAAGTATAATCACATTTAACATCATTGCTCGCCTATTGAGAAGACTACAACCTAATTCTTCTTGTGCTACAGTAAGAGAACACAGGACTCAGTCCTGTAATTGGGTCCACATGGGAGAACGCTTGCCCCTGTGGACAATTTTACTGCGGTCCACCAAGTTCACTCTTAGAGGGTCTGTATGCATGGATGGATCTCTTGCATCTAGAAGAACACATGCCCAGAAGACCTGCAGGCAAACATGTGAACATGAAGCTTATTTTCTTGTGTTGCCATCACGTCATTCTTAATGGCATTAATGAGAAAAAGTAGTTGTGGAAAAAATAGTCTCACTCACATTTCCCAGACATAGGAGATGAGTCATTTTTGAACCTGGCTGCTGTTTAGGACTTGTCCGCGGTTCCAGTTGAACACATAAATCTTTGATTATTAACCAAGTACCTGACAAACAGTCTCTGAATCTGATTCTTCTTACACTGAACTCGTGCAGTGTTTTGCAAACAGGGATCTGTGAAACAGGACTTGACCACGAGTTCCTGGTCTCACAGTGATGAAACACAGATCCGCCTTCCAGAAGTAACATTCTCTGCTGGTCACCAATGCAAGCAAGAATTTCAAAAATGCTTCTTCAAATAAGCAATCAAGAAGTCTGAACAATTTTCAAGGTGTCTGTCTCTACTCACAGAATGTAGTGAGTTGTGAGCCACTCAATGGCTTCAAAATTCTCTTAAATTTCCTGTTCATGATAAACTAGAAGGTCAGCAAAGACTGACTGCACTTTCACGGCCTCACTACTCCCCCCCCCCCATCTTTATTCCAACTTTTAGTGTTTTATGTTTTGCCATAAGCATAATATACTAAGTAAGCTTAGCTCCCCAGCTCTCCCACTATAATCCTTACTTTTTCAGCCCCCGGATGATTTTTGTGGTTTTATTCCCTCCCTGTTTCTTCGCTCCATTTCCTCCACCCACCTGAGAAGCAGAGACATCAGATCTGAATGCTGTTGTCCAGTGCTGCAAAGAGAGCCAACAGCCCTTCCCTAATTCTCATTTTTGGAGACATTCAGAGATGATATCAGCCTTTAAGGCACAGGCTGCACTGGTAGTTCATGCTGAAGCAACTATCTGACCCCTACCTCCTTTCCAAAGCCATACAGTTTTACAAGACTGTCTTCCATCCTATTGGCATGGCTTGCACTCTTGTGCTCCCCAGTGTCCTAGCTTGCATTTTACTGTATTAAAACACATTTTGGTGGACTGAAAACATTTAACCAGGTGATTCAGATTACCCTGCAATGAAAAGATGGCCTGTTTATTATTTACCAGCCCAGGAACCTTTGCACTAACTGCAAACTTTACCATACAAGATTTTATATCATCACGATGACTGCTGATAAAAAGAAGAATCAATTCCCCGAAGAAATCTTCCAGAAATAGTCCTCCACACTGCCATCCCTGTCTTAATGACTGCATTTTGAGATCTGTCGATGAGACTGTTTTAAATCTACCTAATGAGCGCCCTTTGAATGCCACTAAGTGCCAGGTTTTTTAAACTAAAATATGAAAGTGATACTAAGCCAAAAGCCTTACAGAAAGCAGCTGTACTACATGAAAATGCAAACACAAGCATGGATTGGACTCGCTCGTCTCTTTCTGTTTAAAATTGGCTACATCATTTTTAATATCCTTAGTACACTTATCAAGATAAGTTAAAAAAGCTGGGTTTAAATTCATGTAAAAATTTAAATTAATGTAAGCCCCACTAAGGATTTATATAATTTTAAATAACTTACTGTACCACCGTCACTTTTGTGTAGATCAGGCCTGAGACTGGGTCCTGCCTTTTTATCAAGTACTTCTCCTATGTAAATGCAATACTGAGCAAGGCTTTGGAAAGCATCAAAAGTAGTTAATTTCTCCAGAGAGAACAGCAATTGATCGCTATGATTTAGTGTGTTCAGTGTAAATGAAGATGAGACCGGTGTTAGGAAAGAGTAAGTGGTCTTCTGGAGAGTTAAAGTTCGTCTCTGCAAAATGCCCAGGGCTACTTCAGCCTTCCCAGTACAGCACACATCTGCACAGATGTACGTTTTACTCAGAAGAAGGAAATAAACCTACCACTTGCAAGGGTATACAACCATGCAATTTTCACCTACTTGCTTAAAATAGCTCATCTTCTTATCTCCTAATGAAAATACGATGGATGAGTAGTAAAATAGTTTTTCTTGGAAGTTGAATTTTGCTTAATAAAAGGCGCAAGACTCAAGCAATCAGATTGTTATGTAGATCAATTGCACTTTCTATAACTGCGAAACTCATGCCGTGCTCAGAAGATGTATAAAGACTTATTTATGAAGGAGCTGATGAAGATGAGCTCGTTTTCTAATTGTTCCACTAGAAGGACGATCCCTTTCTAACATCATCTGGGAAAACTGTCACTTACAAACCTTAACGATACTATCAAAGACTCACCTACGGCAACAGGTGAGGACTCACCTAGGGCAACAGATGAGCACAGCAATGTCAGCTACCCCTCCTCTGGAAGGAGGGTCTGAAACTGAGCTATCACACTGTGACAGAGACAACTTTCCAAGCTTGTGCCTGAAATCAGATCCCTGCCTGGGCTTTTGAAGTCACGCCCGACACCCTCCAAACCGAAGAGTCCGTCTGTTTACTGGCGAGTGTGATGGCAAGGGCCTGGGCCTGCCTGAGCTCGGCGGCAACTTGCAGCTCCACACCCCTCTGCTCTTCCCAGCCAGGTAAGGAGTGGGCAAGATTCATTCCCTCAGCTGCAATCCCGAGCTGAGCTGTACTTCAAGCTGATTGCTGGGGTAAAGAAACTGAATCTCAGTGCCATTAAAAATGTGCTGTCAGGACCGCTGCCTATAGTTTCTCTTCCTTTATTATACAGAATTTAGGGAATATCTACGATCAGTTTTTGCTTGCTGCAGTAATAGGTTATTTAATTTCCATGAGGATTCCTCCCTTAACACCTAACCATTGGCACTACAAATACCTTAATTAAGAAACAAAATTAAACTCAGAGCATTAACCCACACTGGTCCTCTTCTCGAAGTGTTTCCTACACAATTCTAAATCTGTTTCTTTTTCTTTTTTTTTTTTTTTTTTGAAGGGAGATTTTAATGAATATTCCCAAATCCTTTCTTGAATTTTGAATAGCTACATCTTAAATGCCAGCCCCTGCCAGATGTAAAGGAGGCGTTACAAGCTGCGTGGCATTTCTGAAAGACGACTTTTGTACAAACACCCTTTCGGCTAAATAATAATAAAAAAAAAAGGCAAAACCGGAGGGCGGTTTCCTCCCGCTTCGCAGCGTGCGGGATGCCGAGCTGCCCTTTCCAAAGCGCCTGGGAAGCGCACCCGCACCCCACGCCGGGAGCCGGCCCGCTGCCTGCACCTGCCCTCGCCCCGGGACGGGAGGGAAGGAGGGAAGGAGAGAGGGAAGGAGAGAGGGAAGGAGGGAGGGAGGGAGGGAGGCGGCCGCCCGCCCGCCGGGGCGCACC